TTCTTTGTTCATCCAGGCCCCTCTGATATTACTCTTGCTTTCTATTTTGAATTTTTATTCAAACAAAAAATAGAAGTTTACTGTTATGCAGACTACTGCATTATTGTAATAATTGTATAAATACTGTCAACCCATTCATGACTGCATATTAGAATGGCTACTTGGACATTATTGGAAAAGACATCATTTGTTTACCTTTGAACATCGGCAAAAATCAAACATTTACCCTACTTTGAGCTCCATTTTAAGGTTCTTTTCATGGTAAAATCAATCAAAATCACCTCTATTTTTATAATATGTTTTCCATTCTATCAAATGAGACCAAGAAAACGAGAATACAACCATAAATACTATATGAAAATAGACCACAAAGTTGGCATTTTAATAAAATAAAAAAGGCCAGTTTTTTTTCTCATTATGCACTACGTGCTGCAGGATTTTTTTTTATATGGTGCACAATGACCACACAGACCCATTCTCTCACATGTGAGCCTACCAACTTTCTCCTGCTTAATTTGAAGCCGACAGAATTTACGAGTATACATCAAAAACAGTAGCTCATAAGACATATATGACCGAAACAGTCAAAGGGTTAAAACTAATTTTCATTTTGACCTATATACAACTGATTTCTAGAATTTCACTGGCATTTTCCTGCATTTTAACAGATAAAGTGTTTAAACGTATACATTTCCTTGTCACTGACAGTAAGTTGACCCGAGTATTCGTACATAACATTTACACAGTAGTACAGTAAAGTACAGTACTGTTTACAAAATATTTGTAATAGTTTTGGCAGTTTGGAGGGATATGTTGTGTATATTTATATGTGTATGCTTCTAGACTGTTGTATTCTGAGCACCTCTGCAAAAACTGATAATGTGCGAGTGTGGTGAAAGTGTTGAATGATGATGAAAGTATTTTCTTTTTGGGGATTTTCTTTCTTTTTTGGGTCACCCTGCCTCGGTGGGAGACGGCCAACTTGTTGAAAAAAAAAAAAATGTACTCTACTAAAGCATTTACCCAAAACATGCTGTCTATAATGTAACAACTTTCACTGTTCATAAAAAGTGGCTTCTCTCAACTTTTCATAAGATAACGAGATTCTGAACTTTATAAAAAGATTTCTTGGCAGCAGAACAAGTTTATGAAATAAACCAACATGGGTATAATAAATCCCTGAAAATATTAGGTATTCTAATAAAATCTCTTATCAAGTAACCAGGGGTTGAATTTTCAATGAACAGCAACTGAAATTTTGTACCAGGTAATTCAGACAAAAATTTAATAATAAAAAAAAATATAAAAAGGGGGAGGCAGTGAATAAAAACTAGTAATCCATAATTACATTGTAAAAACAAAAAGGCACAATACCGTGACTGGAACAATATAAATAAGAGCACAGTTATTTGTGTAAATCACACTGCAATTACACAGTCATGCCTTCACCAATCACGTACCTACTCTAGCAGCATTTACACAATTGCTAATTGTCTTGTGATAATCAGAAATTGTATAAATTGTATACCACCATGAAAAACATTTCGGTTTGGGGTTAAGAGGACCACCATGGATTATGCTGAATTCCAACTATACTGGCCCTCCACACCACAGTAAAGCTTATACAGCTTAAAGAATTATAGTCCTTTGTATAAACAACAACGCACCATTTTAATGCAATTCTGCATTTTACTTGGTTACTACCTCCTCAAATGCAATTTGCCGATACTGATGGCAGGTGATGGAACCTGACAATGCCTACCACGCTGGTACACATTGTTCAGGACCGCCTAAACCCTCTCCACACATTTTCAGGCCAATAAGCAATGACAATGCAAGGTATGAGAAACACTTTTTTGAAGAATTAAAGTAAAAGCAAAAATCTTCAGCCCACATATATAAATACAGGATTTCAAAACAAACTGACATGATAAAGGAGTTCAATTTCTACTGAATTTCATCTACACAATCTATATGACACTTTGATAACTTGCCAACTTAACTTATTGGTCACATGTGAAATAGTTTGTGTATGCCCTTTCTGTACAATACACAGTAAAACCTTAGATATAGTATTGGACTAAGAGGAAGATTGTCCAAGTTAACCCTGTCATTGTGAAGACCCTCAAAATTAATACTGGTCCCATGTCTAATTTAAAAAAAAAAAACTTCTGAAATGGTAGAGAATCTTCTTCTGAAGGTAATTCCATAAGTTTTCTGATGGATAACTTATGGAATTACAAAGGTGTAAATAAAGTTAGCAGACTGGGTACAATTTACATTGCAGAGATTTTTGCCCACCTGAATCCTATTTTAAAGTCAGCAAAAACAGAATATCTCCACTACTTTGAGTGCAGTTTCAAGCTACTTCTGATCCTGCAACAAATCAAAATTTCTCTATTTCAGTAGCACGTGTTCCATTTTATCAAATGATACCAATAAACAGCCAGTAAAAACCTTCAAGTTGCCCTTTTAAACCAAATGTATGGTCCAAGTTTTGCTTTTCCCTTCATGCATCACGAGGGCTGGATTTTTTTTTTTTTTTTTTTTTTTTTTTTACAATGCGCACACTTGCCGTGCAGATCCATTCTCCCATACCTAGGCCAAAATTTACAGCTCACATGTGAGTGAGCTGAGCTCGTGATATAGAGCTACGTGAGGCACCTGGGCCTCCTGTGCCAGGATCAATCCCCAAACCTCTGTGCGAGAGCTGAGAATGCTATCAACCAAAGCAAATGTGTGCCCAGTAAAAAAATAAAAGAAATCTGCCCAACACAGTGAATGAAGAAAAAGCAAACCTCTGGTTGAAAATAGCAACTGAGGTGTTTTCTCTGAGTAGTTTCTATGGTTTTATAGGCCATTTCTGGGTATTATTTAATAGAATGTAAGATGTACTATTGAAAGAGATGATTCTGGTTGGTTTCAGGACAAGAAGTAGGTTTATATTCAGCTCAAAATAGCAAAATTATTATTTTGTCGATTTTCCCGAGGGCAGGTAATCTCTGTAGTATCAGTTCCCAGTAGTATGACTCACTACCAACTGTCTGCATGAATCAGTGACTGTTATTCATGTTGATGCTGACTATAGCATGTTTTTGAACACCGCTCACCCCTAGGACCCAATTCGTGAGTCAGTCTTAAGATAGAGAGCAACCCCCACATGACAGTAAGGCCCCCCCCCCATAAAACCCTTTATCTGTTTTATGGGTTTTTAATAGGCCTGATTCAACTATTGGGGCACTGTAAACCATGACCAATCATTCCTGTTTATATCTAAAAAAAATAAGGTAAATCTGATTAATTTTGTGATTATTAATTCAAAATTGTCGGCAAGTCAAACAGAGGAGGCCTGGGATGTGATTAATGAACACAGGAAATGTTTAATGCTGGGAATGTTAACTTTATTTTGCATTATATACTTTAAAAATATGAATTTTCTGAATACATGTACTAGTCAAATTAACGATTTCTGTGCACTTTACAAAGTACTTTTAATAGTTAAATGGGCTGTTTCTTGTGCTCAATCAAAAGGAAGGCATACTAGCAAAATAACTAAGAATTTGGTTGAATGGGGCAATGGAATTTGTTTACAAGATTTAAAGAGGAGGAAAGCATTGAAGCATAAATTAAACCCAGACTAACAACTTTGCACCTGCATAATTCCTAAAGTTTTCCATCAACTTTTGTAATGTAGTTTTGGCATCATTACCTTCAGAAACACTATAAATAACAAAAAAAAGGCACAATACCGTGACTGGAACGATACACAAATAACCCACACATAAGAGAGAGAAGCTTACGACGATGTTTCGGTCCAACTTGGACCATTTACAAAGTCCAAGTCGGACCGAAACGTCGTCGTAAGCTTCTCTCTTATGTGCGGGTTATTTGTGTACAGAAACACTTATTTTTTTTATGTGGACACTGAGAGCAATATTAATTTCAGTGGTCTGGATGGTGAAAGGGTTAAAGGCATTAGTATTTTTGGTCCCACTTTTGAACACATGTAGAATGCCTGGACCACTAAGCAAATTTATAGAATTAGCAAGTGCAGTATCAATTGATTCTTCAGTTAATACAAGCAGACCTATGTCTCTACAAGAGATGATCCTCAAAACCGATAATCCAATTTATGGAATACTATACTGTACATTTATGGTCAGAAGGGTGACATATTTACACCTTTCATAGATTAAATGATTTGTATCCTTCTATAAAATTCAAATAAAACTGTTAAACTGAAGGTAAGCTCTTTTCTTTGACATGACAAAAATGTTAAAGCAACAATAAAAAAAAAAAAAAGTAGCACATGTGTACACTAAGGTAGGCAGGGAGTGAGAGGAGCCAGTGGGAGGTGGGAAAGCAGGGAGCCAGTGGGGAAGCGGGAAAGCAGGGAGCCAGTGGGGAAGCGGGAAAGCAGGGAGCCAGTGGGGAGGCAGGAAAGGAGCAAGCCAGTGGGGAGGCAGAAAAGGAGAGCCAGTGGAGAGGCAGGAAAGGAGGGAGCCAGTGGGAAGGCAGGAAGAAGGGAACCTGTAGGGATGCATGTATGGGCAGTTAGGGAGCATATGAAGGGTGCAGGGAGCATGTGGAAGGCAGGGCATCAACATGTGGAGACAAGGAGTAGGGAAGGAGAAAATGAGCATGGGCGGGAGAGGATGTGGGACAGTCAGGCAGCACAAACAGCAGGGAGGAAGCTCAATGGAAGACAGGAACATGAAGACAGGGAGCACCAGTGGGCAGGGAGTGAGAGCAGCTCTGGTTTGTAGACGGTGAATAAAATGGGGGTAGGCGCAGGAGTTTAAAAGGATTTATGAGATTAAAGAAAGCATGGGAGGGGGAAAATGTACAAAAGTGGTTGGAAAACGGAGATTTTGAAAGGAGAGACAAGTCTGCTGCTGTAGCAATAAATCAAATGATTAATAAAGGCTCAAGGTGTAACTAACTATCCTTGATGAAGTTTTTATTATAGAAAACTTATTTGCCATTAAGAATATGCTTACTTTCCCCCGAACTTCACTCAGAATGTGGAAAAAAGTGGACTTGTGGTTGTTCCACTTTAAGGAGAGAAGTCCGTCCTCCATCTTGCTCTGTGGATAGTAAGAAAAATATATGTTATTTCACAGCTAAATTAAAAATAGTACATTTTAAAGACATTTTATAAGAGTATTAAAGAAAATTTTTAAATTCATGGGAGGGGCTCAACCTAGAAGGGTAATGGGAATCAATCTGGATCAATCCAAGGAAGGGGATGTAAAATCCAATTCCTTGTATCAAGGGCTCCTCACCACCTTCAAGAATCTTCAATGAGAAGGATGCATAAACAGTATGCAACAAAACTAATACCTATGAACCTTATACATCACTTAGGAAAAAAAAAAATTACAGTAGATAAATACCCAATACTGTACTCTGTATTTCAGTGATTATTATAATAAAAAAGAAGCACTAAACTACAAGGGTGGTATTTCAGTGATAAATAAGCCGCCAGTAAACTTCATTCGCAACTGGGCATCACAGACCAAAATAAAAGAAAAGTATGTATATGCATACATGACCAACACACAGGCCCAAGCACAGGAGCAGCAGAGACTACCTCTACCATAAAAATGTTAGTGTATACATGTGTGCAGACAGAACATTGGTATTCTTCAGCATTATACCAGCAGTCAGTGCAACTTGCAGCAAAAGTTGGCATTGCAACTCAGTTACATTAATATCTGACCAATGTTTACTTTATTCCCTTGTCCAACTTTTGCATTATTTTTCAAGCAAAATTTTCCAAAATCAATGTGGTTGTGCAATAATTTAGCAATTTTATTTGAGGAAATTAAAAAAAGTAAGGTAGCCCAACCAAACCAAAAGTAACCCAATCTAACCTATCGCAAGACAAGTAATTGCACTCTCATTACTTTGCGGGCAAAATCACATGACATTTCATTGAGATGTGTGAATGTTAGGATGAGGTGATAGTGATAGGGTGGGACAGCAACCCAGTCAAACAATGCCAGGTCACTGGTTAACTTATTATATTATGCTAATATGTCAACTAAAAGCTTCCATACCAGGCAAGTTTTTCCCATATTATGGGCATGAGAATAATGTGTATGAATAACTAATAAAAGTGCAATAGACACTTGTCAATGATCAATAATAACCCACACGAAGACAGACTCAGATGAACTGGTCTGTACAGTGGTACCGTGAGTTTCGAACACCTCGGAACTCGAATATTTATGCAAGTGTAATTTTGTAAGTGCTTTTGTAGGTGTATTTTGGGGGTCTGAAACAGACTAATCTAATTTACATTATTCCTTATGGGAATAAATTAGTTTGGTACTGGCACTAACAGCCTTCTAGAACAAATTAAGATCATAACTCGAGGTACCACTGTATATGTGAACCCCTACTGTGGTCCTCTTCAATACCCTAGTAGGGGGGTCTAAATATACAGACCAATTAATCTTCCAGGTTTGTCTCCATATGGGTTATTAATGAACATAGTATGTAATGATGGTATTCTCACCCAGGAATAAAATAATCACCGACCTTAATTTTTACTTTTTATACAGCACAGATATTGCAACCTAATTACGTGGACTTGTACAGATAAGTACTTTTTGGATCCCACGTTGGTATTTTACAAGCAAAATCATCCAAAATTGATGTAGTGTGAAGTAAACACCTTACGATGCACTCAACACAGCCAGTTGAGTCGCTGGTCGCAGCCTCACCGACAACAATGACACCCACTGTCATCACTTCCGTCATTACCTAGGTTAGGTGATGAAAGATAGTGGGGTGGTCGCTGCATGCACTGGTGGCTGATATTGGTGAGGCTGCGACTAGCACCACTGCCGTCCCCTACAGGTGCTGTTCAGTGCATTATGATGTTATGGTTCACGTACTGATGAACAGAAAAGCTACCTGCACAACCATCATATCAACTTCAGATGATTTCGCTTAAAATAATAATCAAGTAAGACCATGGAGTATACCATAAGTTGGATTTATTCAGGCCATAAAAGCATGAGCCATAAGCTCTAACTATCAGGGATTAAGGAGTTGTTCACAGGACAGCGGGGGGCAAAGTAGCCCCTACAGGAGTACAGAGAACAAAGTGCATAACTCAGATTATTTTATTAATGCAGGTGTTATGCAGCATTTAATAATAGGAGTTAATGTTTTCATCACAGAAAAAAGGGTAGCTCTTATTCCTGTTATCAAGAGTTCTCCATGGATCTCCAGTCTAGAGGTAGTACAAACTGCCCATTGGACCTGCCTAGCATGGGCCAATAAGACACTTGTGCAACACGTTCCATAAGTCCTAATCTTATTAAGTGGATGTGACCTGGACATGACTGGCTTGGACCTGCATAACATAGGGTCACAAGTGACATGGTCCTTAGGCAAATAGATAAATTAAAACCTAACAAATCCCCAGGCCCTGATGAACTGTATGCAAGGGTTCTAAAGGAATGTAAAGAGGAGCTTAGCACACCTTTGGCTAATCTTTTCAACATATCACTACAAACTGGCATGGTGCCAGATAAGTGGAAAATGGCAAATGTGATACCTATTTTCAAAACAGGTGACAGGTCCTTAGCTTCGAACTATAGACCAATAAGCCTAACCTCCATAGTGGGAAAATTTATGGAATCAATAATTGCCGAGGCAGTTCGTAGCCACCTTGAAAAGCATAAATTAATCAACGAATCTCAGCATGGTTTTACAAAGGGGCGTTCCTGCCTTACGAATTTATTAACTTTTTCACTAAGGTATTTGAGGAGGTAGATCATGGTAATGAATATGATTATTGTGTATATGGACTTCAGTAAGGCTTTTGACAGGGTCCCACATCAGAGACTATTGAGGAAATTTAAAGCACATGGAATAGGAGGAGAAATTTTTTCCTGGATAGAGGCATGGTTGACAAATAGGCAGCAGAGAGTTTGCATAAATGGGGAGAAATCAGAGTGGGGAAGCGTCCACGACGGTGTTCCACAGGGGTCAGTGTTGGGCCCCCTGCTGTTCACAATCTACATAAACGACATAGATGAGGGCATAAAGAGCGACATCGGCAAATTGCCGATGACACCAAAATAGGCCGTCGAATTCATTCTGACGAGGACATTCGAGCACTCCAGGAAGATTTGAATAGACTGATGCAGTGTCGGAGAAGTGGCAGATGCAGTTTAATATAGACAAATGCAAAGTTCTAAATGTTGGGACAGGACAATAACCATGCCACATATAAACTAAATAATGTAGATCTTAATATTACGGATTGCGAAAAAGATTTAGGAGTTCTGGTTAGCAGTAATCTGAAACCAAGACAACAGTGCATAAGTGTTCGCAATAAAGCTAATAGAATCCTTGGCTTCATATCAAGAAGCATAAATAATAGGAGTCCTCAGGTTGTTCTTCAACTCTATACATCCTTGGTTAGGCCTCATTTAGATTATGCTGCACAGTTTTGGTCACCGTATTACAGAATGGATATAAATTCTCTGGAAATGTACAAAGGAGGATGACAAAGTTGATCCCATGTATCAGAAACCTTCCCTATGAGGATAGACTAAGGGCCCTGAAACTGCACTCTCTAGAAAGACGTAGAATTAGGGGGGATATGATTGAGGTGTATAAATGGAAGACAGGAATAAATAAAGGGGATGTAAATAGTGTGCTGAAAATATCTAGCCTAGACAGGACTCGCAGCAATGGTTTTAAGTTGGAAAAATTCAGATTCAGGAAGGATATGGAAAGTACTGGTTTGGTAATAGAGTTGTGGATGAGTGGAACAAACTCCCAAATACCGTTATAGAGGCCAGAACGTTGTGTAGCTTTAAAAATAGGTTGGATAAATACATGAGTAGATGTGGGTGGGTGTGAGTTAGACCTGATAGCTTGTGCTACCAGGTCGGTTGCCGTGTTCCTCCCTTAAGTCAATGTGACCTGACCTGACTAGGTTGGGTGCATTGGCTTAAGCCGGTAGGAGACTTGGACCTGCCTTGCATGGGCCAGTAGGCCTTCTGCAGTGTTCCTTCGTTCTTATGTTCTTATGTTCTTATAACATGGGCCATTAGGTCTACTTCAGTGCTCCACCTTTATGTTCTTATTAATAAAGCAAGCACACATTAACAACATCCATAAAATACATGAGAAGCACTGCAGCAGATCTACTGGCTTGTAAAATGAAGTACTGTATTTAATAAAAATAATGGAAACCCTTAAAGAGGGTTGAAGAAACAATGATTCCAATAAAAGTACTGGTATAAATACAGACTATTAAAAATGATGTGGTGATACTATGTGGAAAAAGACATGTACAGTCCAGGACATTTATCAGAGGAAATGTTTTGCCACTAGTGGCTGTAATAAATGTCCTGAACTGTCTTTTCACATACAAACTGACTATTCAGGTCAACAGACACTTGCAATGCCTAAATATTCACGTAATCTACATTTTGCTTGTTGTAAGCTTTGTAGTCTTAATGAAGGGAGCCAAACGTCCCTTAGGTAAGTAGTCGACGTTACACGGTGTTCATTAGCCTAACAGGACACCCTGAGTGGAAATAATTACTTGAATTTACTGTGTTAACCTAGGTTAATTTCCACCTGAGTCTCCATACAAGTCGACTACAGAAAATTCAAACTTACGAAAGAAAGGCTAAACTAAGTGGCGCTTGACGTTACCTGCTGCAAGGACCTCCCACGACCTGCCTAACCCATTACCCAGCCTTATCCTGTGGCATGAGTGATGCAGGTGTCCATAGTGAGGTAGAAGAGAGCACACCAGCCACCAGGATCACCACAACCTTCCCTCTCACAGCTCCGGTCAGACGCCATGAAAACAAAGCCCCACCTTGGGCGTCCCGCGGGCTCGCCCACTCTATGGCTCCTCCCGCCGCCGCCTCCACCTTTCCACCCAGCTGTTGCACCTCAACTTGATCCTTATTAGTCGAGCGAGACGTTAGGGGGGACACTTTAAACGAAGGGGACTTACCGGAGGAGAAATCACCGCGAAACAGCGAGGGTCAGCAGCTTCTTCTTTCACGTCGCCATCTTGTTCGCGCATGAGCACTGCGACACCCACGCTTCCTAACCTGACCATTCCACACTACAAATGGAAATAATTTCATTATTTACCACAATTAACCCATTATTACTCCATAATACAACGACTAATTTAACCCCTATATCAATCTCAATATATTTATATGAATAAAGATACCTATACGACTGTAATATAATAAATACATTAACCTTTCTCCCCATTACTAAGATCGATGCACCAACACTTGCAACTGCAAATATTTTCGTAATTTCGTGGACAAGGAATATTTTTACCGATGTTATAGTCTCTATGCACACAATAAGACGGTCATCTATCTACTACACATGCTATCATCTTCATGCCAAGACAATACTAACCTAAAATGCTATTCTATCATCGTTTCATTTGTAAAAATGGCAAAAAATGGATGAGCCTCTCCACTTTAGTGCGTAACGCATGCGTCAAGTTAGACTTACACGGCAGATTAGTTTGACTGTTGTTGCTGTTGCTGTTGCTGCTGTTGCACTGTAATTACTGCTAAATATCAACCACGCTATATACAAGTTATTTTCACGTCTTGAGAGCAGAAGCTAGTGCATTAGGCCGCACAACACCTATTCCTGAAAAACTTACAAGAATAGGGGCTTGGCCCACCAGTACTGCTTAATAATAATAATAATAATAATAATAATAATAATAATAATAATAATAATAATAATAATAATAATAATAATAATAATAATCTTTATTTCTACAAGTACATGTACAGGGTATACAGACCTGGTTGACATCAATTACATGTTACTATATAGAACGCCCCTTGTTATGCAGAGCATTTCGGGTAAATTAGGTTGATTTTGTTCCCAGGATGCGACCCACACCAGTCCACTAACACCTATGTACCTGTTTCATTGATGGGTGAACACTGGACAGCAGGTGTCTTAAGGAAACACGTCCTAATATTTCCACGCGTACCGGGGATCGAATCACGGACCTCAGTGCGCGAACTGATTGCGCTAGCAATCGAGCTGTGGGGCATCTAGCTATGGGACACCTAGCTTCGTCCCCATAGGATGAGAGACTCTTGGCCCCTAGAGGGAAAAGCATACCATGGTTTCCCTGGAGGAGCTGAATTCCAGGTTCATCAAAACCCGAGTGCTGATACCTCTCCTTTCCAGCGCCTCAACGTGGCCATCCAGAGGGGGAATGCCTGCCTGCATCTTGAGATGCCTCGCAGGCGTCTGGAGAACTTCCTAACTTAAATGTCTTTATATTTTGTAATTCAGTTTGCATGTCAAATCCTCAGCAATACTGCACTAATAATAAATATGTAAAGAAAGTATAAGTAGTGGAGCAAGAAAAACACTCATACGTGACTTTAAGAATACAGAGAACTCATCCACATAAGTGACTCCAGCATAACATTTAGCGAATCATCACAAAACTGATGTCAGGAATCGGTCACATAAGATCAAATTAATAAATGAACGAGAGAGTGTATGAACACAAATGAATGAACAAGTGAGAGTATAGACATAAATCCAGTATTGGGCCCCTACTTAGACGAGATGGGTCATACACAGAGAACAAGAAGTCCCAATATGACTCGGTTTTTAGCGAGATACCCAGACTGAAAAGAGATACATGATTACCTGGAGGTTATTCCGGGGATCAACGCCCCCGCGGCCCGGTCCATGACCAGGCCTCCCAGTGGATCAGAGCCTGATCAACCAGGCTGTTACTGCTGGCCGCACGCAGTCCAACGTACGAGCCACAGCCCGGCTGATCCGGCACTGACTTTAGATATCTGTCCAGCTCTCTCTTGAAGACAGCCAGGGGGTTATTGGTAATTCCCCTAATGCTTGATGGGAGGCTGTTGAACAGTCTTGGGCCCCGGACACTTATGGCGTTTTCCCTTAGTGTACCAATGGCGCCCCTACTTTTAATTGGGGGCATTTTGCATCGCCTGCCCAGTCTTTTACTTTCGTAGGGAATGATTTCTGTGTGCAGATTTGGGACCATTCCCTCCAGGATTTTCCAAGTGTAGATTATGATATATCTCTCCCTCCTGCGTTCCAACGAGTACAAGTCAAGTGCTCCAAGCGTTCCCAGTAGTTAAGGTGCTTGACAGAACTTATACGTGCAGTAAAGGATCTCTGTACACTCTCTAGATCTGCGATTTCACCTGCTTTGAATGGAGATGTTAGTGTACAGCAGTATTCTAGCCTAGAGAGAACAAGTGATTTGAAAAGGACCATCTTATTCCTTATCCTCATATCAGACATAAACAGAGATATACACCACAGCACCGTATCATCCTTTGCGGATGATACTAGGATCTGCATGAGGCTGTCATCTGCTGAGGACGCGGTTAACCTCCAAGAAGGATATAAACAAAGTTTTCCAGTGGGCAACGGTAAACAATATGATGTTCAATGAGGACAAATTCCAACTACTCCGTTATGGAAAACTGGAGGAGATAATAACTAGAACAGAGTATACTACTGACTCCGGCCATACAATAGAGCGGAAAAATAATGTAAGGGACCTGGAAGTAGTAATGTCTGAGGATCTCACTTTCAAGGATCACAACAGTGCCACGATCGCACGTGCAAAGAAAATGATAGGATGGATAATGAGAACTTTCAAAATGAGAGATGCCAAGCCCATGATGATCCTTTTCAAATCACTTGTTCTCTCTAGGCTAGAATACTGCTGTACATTAACATCTCCATTCAAAGCAGGTGAAATCGCAGATCTAGAGAGTGTACAGAGATCCTTTACTGCACGTATAAGTTCTGTCAAGCACCTTAACTACTGGGAACGCTTGGAAGCACTTGACTTGTACTCGTTGGAACGCAGGAGGGAGAGATATATCATAATCTACACTTGGAAAATCTTGGAAGGAATGGTCCCAAATCTGCACACAGAAATCACTCCCTACGAAAGTAAAAGACTGGGCAGGCGATGCAAAATGCCCCCAATAAAAAGTAGGGGCGCCATTGGTACACTAAGGGAAAACACCATAAGTGTCCGGGGCCCAAAACTGTTTAACAGCCTCCCATCAAGCATTAGGGGAATTGCCAATAAACCCCTGGCTGCCTTCAAGAGAGAGCTGGACAGATACCTAAAGTCAGTGCCGGATCAGCCGGGCTGTGGCTCGTACGTTGGACTGCGTGCGGCCAGCAGTAACAGCCTAGTTGATCAGGCCCTGATCCATCGGGAGGCCTGGTCATGGACCAGGCCGCGGGGGCGTTGATCCCCGGAATAACCTCCAGGTAATCATTGGCTTGGCATCTCTCGTTTTGAACGTTCTCATTACCCATCCTATCATTTTCTTTGCACTTGTGATCGTGGCACTGTTGTGATCCTGGAAAGTGAGATCCTCAGACATTACTACTCCCAAGTCCCTTACATTATTTTTCCGCTCTATTGTATGGCCAGAGTTTGTAGTATACTCTGTTAGATTATATACACTTGGAAAATCCTAGAGGAATTAGTACCAAATTTGCACACGAAAATCACTCCCTATGAAAGCAAAAGACAGTGCAACATCATCCCCCCAATGAAAAGTAGGGCGCCACTAGCACGATAAGGGACAACACAATAAGTGTCAGGGGCCCAAGACTATTCAACTGCCTCCCGTCATTCGAAAGGGGCGGGGGAGGGGGTTACCAATAGACCCTGACTGTCTTTAAGAGAAAACTGATTGTTACTGCTGTAACAGCCTGGAACTGGCTGTTACTGCAGTTACAGCCTGGGTGATCAGGCCCTGATCCACCAGGAAGCCTGGTCTAGGACCTGAAGCATCCCACAGGTATCATTACTTACTGATTGCTAGGACAGCTGCCCTCCCTCAACCAGGGTACAACAGCTGCCCTCTCCCATCTTGGGCACAACAGCTGCCCTCTCCTATCTCATGCTCAACAGCTATTCATCCTCAACCCGGGGCACAACAGCTGCCCACTCTCGAACCGGGGCACAACAGCTGCCCACCCTCAACTCGGGGCACAACAGCTGCCCACCCTCAACCCGGGGCACAACAGCTGCCCACCCTGAACTCGGGGCACAACAGCTGCCCACCCTCAACTCGGGGCACAACAGCTGCCCACCCTCAACCCGGGGCACAACAGCTGCCCACCCTCAACCCGGGGCACAACAGCTGCCCACCCTCAACCCGGGGCACAACAGCTGCCCACCCTCAACTCGGGGCACAAGGGCCGCCACCATCCCCTACCCTCCACCCACTGTCCACCCAATGAAAGTCATGAACAGACTTTCTCTCATGGGCACAAACAACTCTTGCCCAAGTGAAAGTCTCCTAGTCCCGCCGCCATTCACTCAAGAGAAAGCCTATTGTATTCTTTTTATCTTAAATAAATTACCCTGTATGCTCCAAACAACATTGATTACTTGTTAGGTGTGAAGCCTATCGGCTACAAGATGGTTGAGGATAGTTTAATGCCTAAAACATTAACCTCTCAGTATATATGCTGAGATATACACCTCTCGGTGTATACTCACTGGAAAAATATGCACAGAAATACGGGAGGAAATACGGAGAGCAAGAGTACGCTCCCCGAGTCGTTCCGTGGCTGAGATATTGACAAGAGTACATCAATGGTTGACACAGTAACAAAGAGTTCATCAATGGTTGACACAGTAACAAAGAGTACATCAATGGTTGACACAGTAACAAGAGTACATCAATGGTTGACACAGTAACAAAGAGTACATCAATGGTTGACACAGTAACAAGAGTACATCAATGGTTGACACAGTAACAAGAGTACATCAATGGTTGACACAGTAACAAGAGTACATCAATGGTTGAGCACAGAAGCAAGAGTTACAATGGTTGACACAGTACCTAAGATACATCAATGGTTGATACAGTAACAGAAGTACATCATGTTGCACATAAACAAACAGTACATCAGGTTGACACAGTAACAAGAGTACATCAATGGTTTGGCACAGTAACAAGAGTACATCAATGGTTGGCACAGTAACAAGAGTACATCAATGACTCAAGAAATCGTAATGACACGATTGCAAA